GGGGGGGGGGAGAGGGGACAACAAGACAATAGATAGTTATATAGCATGTCAGATGATGTGGGGAGTGACAGGTGGAGGTGATAACTATTTAGAATGAACTCAGTAAAAGGATTACACTTGAGCAGGTTCAGGCCCTGGGAAAGGACTCCAGGCAAGGGAACAGCTGGAGCAAATGTCCAGCTCATTCTAGGAACAGCAGGAGGCCAGCAGGGCTGGAGCACCAATGAGGAAGTGAGTAGGAGGAGATGTGACAGAGGGGAGAGGGAGAGGGAACCATGCAGGACCACGTGTGGAGTGTACAGTGTTGGTTTCCCCTCATGAAATGGGGAGCCACTATTTATTTTTTAATTCTAATTATGTAAAATGCAAACATACAAAAGTGGAGAGAATAGTAGACTGACCTCCCATGTACCCATCACCCCCCTCCAACAACTATCAAGTCGTGGCCAGGCCTGTTATTGGTAACAGGAGGTCCGGCCAACAAGAGGCTATTAGTAGGTAAACTGGAGGGGAATCAAAAGTTATATGCAGATTTTTTGCTGCATTGCATCCGGTGCTCCCAACCCCCACGTCGTTCAAGGGTCACCTGTACTTTAAGGATGAGGGAGGTGGGGTGGGCTGAAGGAAAATTATGTGTAGAGAGGTGACAGGCAAATGGATGGGTGGCAAGAGCACAGAAGCAGCCTCCCCACCCCCACCCCCGCCCCCTCTAGAGGCCAGGGCAGCAGCCAGGCCCTTGGGTCTGTTGGCAAGCCTTTTGCTAGGGTGACCTGAGTGAGCCCCTGTTTCTTTCAGTCAAGGAAGTGGACCTGTGGGGACAGGCAGTGTCCATGCTCTGGGAACCTGCATCTCCACCCACCAGCCTCCTGTGCCCGTCAGTCATACCCCTCCCCCTGTATCCAGGACTAAGTGACATAAACACAGGGGCCTCATTCACCACATACCCCCAGGCCTAGAATCCCACCTGGTACAGAGCCAATGCTCCATGTATTACCTGTGCAAAGAAATAACTCCTCAGAGGTCCCAGGAAGAGCCATGTGCTCCCTCCTCAGGCCACTACCTGTCTTCCATCTGAGCACTTGTCCTCCCAGGCACCCATACCAGCATCTCTGATGTTGGGTTCTTTCAGACTCCCCCAGTAAGGGAAGGATGAGTCCACGCTGCTGGTCACAGCACCCCCAGCCCTGAGCATGAATGGGAGGGGCCCCTGGGGCTACACGCCTGGTATACACGGAAAGCCACACCTGCAGGGGCCTGGCCTCCCGTGGCCTGGTCTTTGGGGCCTCAAACTCAGTAGCCCCAGGACCTCTCCTCTTTCAAGCCCATTCTGCACCCCACCCAAGACCCAGCACCAGTTTGGGGGTGCACCTTTGCTCTTGTCTCAGCTCCTGACTCTGGTGTTCCCCAAAGTTCAGCCCACCCTAAGGGGGGGAGGGAGGGTCCAGGGCATGGTATCCATGCAGTCTGCAGCCGAGCTGCCGGGCTCCTTGCTCTGGTCTGAGTCTTTCTAGCCGATAGTCCAGGCAGGAAACATGGAAAAAAGAGGCTGGGCCAAGAACAGTTGTACTGACTTTATTCCCCTCACTCTTCTCACTCACCCGCCTGCTGTCCCCCACGCACTCTGTGGCTGTGGGGTGGCCACATGGGACCAGACATCAGGAGTCCACAGGCCTGGGCACAGCTATTCTGCCACCGCTGTGAAGGGCATTGTGGCAGCACATGCCAGCGTCAGAGGCTTGGGCTCTGAGACCAGTCCCAGCTCCCAGAGCTGTGATCATGCGGCTTGAGGCCACCCTCATCTCTCTGGCCGCTCCCCTCCAGCTGGCCCAAGACCAGGGAGCCCCAGCAGGGACAGGCCCAGGTTCTGGACCTGAGGTCTGGCCGAAGGGGCTGAGAAGTCCAAATGGACAGAGGGACCTCCTCTCAGCCGAGCTCCAGTGGGAGGTGATGATCCTAAGCCCCCTCCCCACCACTACCGCCAGCCCTAGGGATTGAGTATGAAGCCTCAGTCCCCTCAGTCCAATATCCAGGTGCTTGTTAATTTGTTTTTGAAATAAAAAGGAAATGGAAAAGCTGGTAAAACAAGAACCCCATCCATACTGGCACTGCTGGGGTTCCATTATTGCTTCGACCCTCATGGTCTGGCTGGAAGGGAGCTCCCACCCACAGGGGCCCAAGGGGAAGAGAGCATTTAGCACCAGGGACACAGGGCTCCTGTTCCCACTGGGGTGGGGCCTCCAGGAGGGCGCTTGGCTGTGCCCACCTATATAGTTACAAGAGCCCAGCCTGCTGCCTGAACCCCTCTCCTGCCCTCAGAGAGAAGGTATAAAGGAACAGGAAACCCAAGTCTTGGGACAGGGTTTCACTGCTACACTCATCTCTGACCTCTGCTTGTCAAAATCTGGCCTGACAGACCAGGGCCCCCAGGCTTGCTAAGGCCGCAGTGGGGCTAGCAGGTGACAAGGCCGCCAGCCCCTATGGTAGACCCTGGTGTCAGTGACAGGGGGTTGGGAAACCCATGGGGGTCCCAGTCTAAAGCCCATTGGGGAAGATCAACATTTTTGGGACAATGTGAGCCAGCTCTGAAGAGCTGCCAGGCACTGGGACCAGAGGTTAGAAATAGCAAGGGGAGGGGAGTAGAGAAGGGGGACCCTGAGGACATCATGGAAGCCCAGAGATAAGGGGTGCAAGAGAGGGAAAGAGCTATAGTAAAGCAGGGACCCAGGAGGCCCAGCCTTGGGATGGGGAGCCACAGAGCTGGGAGCCAGACAGAAAACCTTCCTCTCTCGGGAGGGGCCCACTTTCAATCCCCAGAGGACAGCAGGGGCCCCTGAGGGTGCATCTGTTGGCTCTGGCTTGTACTGTTCCTGCTGCAGCCCCAAACTCAGCTGGGCCAGGGCACTGCCCCCTCCATGCCGAGAGAGCGAGCAGGCTGTGTGGCTTGGATTATAGACCCTCAAATCACTCGGGCTCCTTGGGCCTGCCCACGTCTGTACAGAATAAAGTGCTTCTTTTATTGATGATTAAAATGTGCCCAGCCCCCTACCCCAGCGCCATGGGCCTCACAAGGAGGTCAGAGGGGCTCCGACCCCCTCAGCCCTGAGGCTGACGGGGCCCAGTCCCCGCATGGTCCTCCTTGGGCTCAGGCCTCGTTCCACTCCAGCCGTGCTGGGAAGGCGGTGGTGTGGGCGTAGTCATGGGGGTTTAAGGTGCAAAGAGTATAACAAACAAAACCATATAAACAATAGGAAAGAGCTTAACTAGGAAACGTAGCTTATGGAATCTTCCTCCCCATTTAAAAGGCAGGAATAAAGATGTTAAATGACAACAAAAAAGGGTGACCTATTAGTGCCGGCCTCATGGGGGCAAGCACTGGGCACAAGTAGGGGCTCCCCCAGGACCCTGCCCTGCCCCTGGGGCCTGAACATGCAGGCTCCTCTCACCAACAATGCCATAGGCACCCTGCCACCAATGCAGAGGCCCAGGAGGGACAAGGAAGCTGGGCATCGGCCACGGGCAGGTTGTGGCAGGGCCTCGGCGAGGATGAGGCCTGGCATTGCCTTCGGGGGTATGGACGGACACAGACATACACATCTCCTCTAGCATGGGAGATACGGCCAGGGCAGCTGGTGAGGGGCGGGTGCTCTGTGACCAGCACCCTACCCCTTGCCCCACTGGTAGCACCTTGAAACCTTAGAACACTTGCCCAAGCCTCCTCCTAGGGCCCTGCCCCTGGGGGCCACCCAGTTGCAGGGGCTCCTTGACTGCAGCCCCTGGGAGCTGGTGCTGTAGGAGCTGACTTATCTGTCCACCCTAGGCCTGCCCACAGCACCCTGAGGCCCAGGGACCTCAGTGCAGCCTGATGCAGGTCGGGGACCCCTGGCAGGGCTATGGGTGGGGAAAGCAAATGCCCGGGGTCCAGCCCCTGCCTGGCCCACTCCACACGGTGCAGAGCTGGGTCTGAAGTCTTCATACCTCGCCACTCCCCACCCAACACGCTCGTGGGCATTCAGTCTCAAAGCCCTTGCCTCGGTGTCCAGTCCTCAGACTGAGTCCACAACTGCTCCAGGGTGGCTGGTACCCCAACTTCTCCCCAAACCCTCCAGGACGAGGGGGCAAGTTAGGGGACATGGGGGAGGCAGGGATGAGCCACTGAGGCTGGCCCAGGCTCCACCCGGACAACCCCTCCAGCTCAGGCCTCAGCAGAGTGACCAGTCACGCCTGCTCTCCAGGCCGCCCTTTCCACTGGACCTGCTGCCTCCAGCGCCCCCCTCACCTGGAGGGGGTACTGCAAATAGCTTCCTCTTTTCTTTTTCCTTCACTTCCAAAAAAAAAGAAAAAGAAAGGCTTCAAGGAGTCCCTGAAAGTGGGCACTTGGGAGTAAGGTGTCCTACACCAGCTTTGGGGGCCGCCAGCCTGCACCCGTGCCAGGGCCAGGGGCTTCAAGCAGAGCGTGTCCAGCCACCTCGGGGGGTGGGGGCGGCGGTGCCAGGCCGGTGC